CTTGCACTTATAAATGATCCGTTTAGCCACATGGTCACGCGATTCCCAATTTTCGAAAGCTGTTGAAACATCAATTCGCGCGTATCGCGCCGCAACGCCTCTATTTACGGATATTTATTTCGTTCGAAGCGCCTCTGTTCGTACTTAATTGCAGAAATATTTTATGGGTTATAGTGAAATTCTTGTGGAAATATTTTACATTTCAATTTTACAACACACCTACTTGTATATTTTCTACGACAACATTTGAATGCTTTTATAAATCAGCATACGATATTTCTTTTATTATCTCCATCTTGCTCGGTTCTAGGGCGATCTCAGGTTCCTGGCAATTCCATTGTATCGTCTTAGAAATTCCAAAGACAAACGTTTCGAGGATCAGTATATTTTAAAGCTTGACAATTTTAAGAGTCTAATTTATAAGAGGAATGTTCTTAGAACAGGATTTTCTGCAAGTTTCTCCAAAAGATTTCTAAGGGAAAAAATTAGAATATTAGTCGTAAATTTGTCGACCCTTCTTACCGGTTTGTTAATGGAATATTATTTCAATTTCACGCCACGTTTGCAAATATCGCATCGGAAGAAATTTATCTTTATGGAAACGATCCAAGCAGTGTTCCTTTAAGCTTACAAAATGCCATGGCGTTATAAATTTGCTTTACGCATTAATAAACTTTATCTCTCCGTTAAAATCGTGTGGTCTAACCAATAGTTTTTAACGAAGTGTGTAAAATAACAAAACGTACGAAGTAAAATTTTTTAAGCATTAGGAACATGAATATTGAAACATTACGAATTGTTTCTAGAACATACTAACTTCAAAATTAGTATCGATAAGCTTCTAAGATGGCAATATACAAACTAAAATTTTTCGAACATTAAAAATAGAAATATTAGAAAACAGAAACTGTATACATTATGTACTATTATTGAAATCTACTATAACGTCAAAGTTAGTAGCAGAAATCTCCTGAGTCTTTATTACGTAATTTTCCTTGAAATCCTTAAATCTTCGACGATCTTCATTCGTCCCTTGCTTAAAGACAAAATTAGAGGATCGACTGAAAGATACACGAGAAGTTGGCGGTGTAATTATTGATCCGCAATTATCGACTCGCCTGGAAGACAGGCGGGAAGGAATGAGAAAAGAAAAAAAAAGAAAAGAGGAAGAGAAGTCGGTACGGAGCCTCTTCACGTTCTCATGACGCGGCGGTCATTTTGAACGAGGTTCACGCATCGAGACCACCCACCTCATGGAGTTGGTTGATTATATACCTCAATTTCAGCCGTTTCTACCTTCTGTTGGCTCTCGCGGGGCACTTCACCGGCCAAAAGTTCGAAAAAACGAGAACGGAGTCGTGAAACTTCGGTCTTGGAACGCGTTTTAAGAGATTGCCACAAACTTCTTCCCTCTCTACCTTCATCTCGGCGCTCGTCTTCCTCGTATTTTCCCCTCTTCGACCTTCGAATGGCGTAGATATGTTTCTGAATCTACTAATTGGTCGTAAAGGAAATTATGTTCCAGCCTCGTCCTCTCTAAGGTACTTTCTGCTACTCGCTGCGCGAAATCCACGAATCAGATTCTAGACGACGAGATCTCTTCGTGTTCGGCGAAAAATCGAAAAATCGACCAGATACGTTGTTTCTTAAACGAATCAAGTAAGAATTTGATTGAAGTAAGAATGTTCGGTAAATAAGGATCGATTTAAGACCTGAATATTTTCTATTTCCATTCTTTCGAGGACTATGACATTTATATGATACTTCTTGTTTCATTCAATTTCGTATTTGAGGAAAAAGAAATAACAAGAATGTAAGAATAAATCAAGAATTGAGAATTCGACTTGATCTTCCTTATCGCGAATTGAGAAAAAGAATAGGAGAATCACAAATTGAAATTCTTTGGTTTCAAACTCCAGTGATTAAATGCTCTCAAAAAGTAGAACAAGAGATAAAGTCACACAGCTTACATCATTTAAAATATATATATTAAATAATCAATTACCCCTGGTAACAAATAGATTCAAGAACAAATCTTCTTCATCGTCTAAGCTCAAAGAAAAATGTTTGACTTTTATAGGATTGTCAAATAATTTATTTTGTGTATTACAGAGAATCGTGTCTATCCCTTTATAGAAAAAAATCTCTCGGTTTAAAGATGTTCCATCGATTGATCGCGCGTGCCACGAGTAGTTTGCGTTTGTCTAGGAAATTCCACTCCGACGCTGGTTAACCGTTTGTTGTTGGGCAGCTATGATGCTGCCGGTGGTGACGGCGACGTTTTCTGGTGGTGGCAAATATATTATGCCTCTCGTAAAATTAAGTTTTTACGATCATTTTATGGTAGCGCACGGTCCGTCGATGCTTAGTATCTATAGGTGTGCATTTCTCCTAGCTGTGCTTTCCGCGACTCGTCACAGAGATCTCTTTCGTCAAACGCGAAACACCGAAACATTGTTAATCGTTCCCGAAAATTCGGTTCACTTATTCGCGCGAGACACTTGGATATTGAAACTAGCAGGTGCAAGATAAAATTCGAAAATATCACCTGAAAGAGAAAAGAACAGCCAATTAGATCGCGATCGTTTTAATGATTTCTTTCGTATTTATAGATAGAAGTTAATGAAATGAAAGTAATAAATAAATAACCCTCGAGTATAGTTTATGAGACCGCTGCTCATTTTCGTTCATTCCCCTTTTCTTTTCTATATTACTTTCTATCAGTATTTTTCAACGTATTCGCTATTATTAGATAAGTCAAGCTTGAGATTCTTTATTATTAATGTATGTAAAGCAAGAAAAACTGAATTTAATCTTTATTTTGCAACTGCTGGTTTCAATATCCACAGTTCTTAAGAGTCAATAAACTAAACTAAATATATTCTTTATTAATAATTAGCACATATAGCATTAGTGCTAATACAAAACACTATCGCTTCGTGAAACATCTCACATCCAAGATTCCAAAATCATACAATGCTGCAATGCATTTTAAATGTTTGAACATTTCATACTCACATTACAAGATAAGTAAATTCTCGAGATAGGTAGCTCACTGCACCATTCAAGCCAACGCTTAAACTTCGTAACGAATTCCTCTGCACAGCCAAGAATACACAAGTCAACTTTACTCCGTGGTGATATCCTAGTTCAGCTTTTATCGTGTTAAACACGTCGAATGCCGAGAGACGCGAGTCACCGTTTAATGAACGAACAAACGTGTCTTTGCCGAGCATGGTAAACCGTGCGATCGAATCGACCGTTCAAAAGATGAGGGTCAAATGAAGCAGACGGAACGCCTTGGCTAGATTTTCCCCTTGGGGTTGCAACTTTCTCTTCGTATAAAAAAATTTCTAGGGACCGATTTCTAGGCGAGGATTTCACTGAAAATTCGGGTCACCGTCGGTACCTTGAAGTCCTGGATCAATGGAAATTATTTGTGAAAGTTTTAGACGAAACTATTCCGACAGGCGAGATTTACGATTTTTCGCTGAAGTTATAAATAGCAATATTATTAGAGAGATTCTAATTTCAACGATGGCACGAACTTTCGAAATTTTAACAGATTTGAATTTGTGAAGTGTAATGACACGTATGTATATGGTATCACAAAATCTTATAGATAGATTATATTGTTTAAGCAAATTTTAACATTTTCTTTTCTTCCAACGATTATCATTTGTAGAACGTTAACTCATGTATTAACACATGAAATACTTCTGGATTTTAACAAATTTGATTTACAAGGTATAATAATATGTAATATCAGAACAAGTAGAGAATTTTAGTATATTCTTTTCTATCGTGTACTCTTTTTAGTTGTTGTCTTAAAATCGTAGAAATAATATCTATCAATATTAATTCTATAGAATACTTTTTGTTAACTATAGGTTTGTTGAGTGGTACAATAAAATTCTCTGATCTTTGCAATTCCCTTGAGCAACACTATATAATGTAGTTCTTATTTTTTTTTAATTTTCTTCTAACAGACGCTTCTTGTCTGAGCCTAAGAGAACAGGGTAATGTCAAGGAAATGTCAACAGAACTTTTACAAAGCTGAATGCCACTCGAACCTCAAGATACATAAAATGTATAGTCTACATAATATATCTTTTTCAAATTTAAAACGAAGGAAGAATTTTATGGCTTTTCGTTTATCATTATTTCTTTCGTGATCAGTAACTTTTATTCAAATATTTGCTTTTTTTTCTTAATATTTAAACTTTCTAGATATATGGAGATCTTCTTAATAATTGACAGCAATAATGTTCTTTATCTCCGTTCGAATGAATTATTTTTCCACTATTGAAATAAGTAAGTATTCCCTCTGTTCGAAGAAGGAACAAGGACCGAGTGCACTCGGAGGGATCAAGCAGTCACGTTTTCCCATGTGCAGCTTTCGGGTAATTCCACGACGGCTATGGTGTTTACGCGCGACGGTGAAAGCCAGGATTGAATGCTAAAGAAAGGCCAGAACGAAAGCGAGGGAATCATATTATTTTAGTTGAATTATTTATAGAACGTTGCTGGAAAAAGGCGCGCGTAAATCGTTTCGTCTTCCTCGAGATGATCTCACCTCGGAGAAGGTGAAGAAAAAAGTATACTCCGGCGAATGGGAGAAAGAGAAGTAAAAAGAAAACCGGAAATCGATGTCCTCTCGCGAAACGAGGATAGAATTTTTTAGAAAGATAATTTGATAAAATTAACCCATAGATTTAAAGAAATACTCTCAAAGAAGATTCTTCTTCTTCTTCTTCTATTTTTTTCTTTAATGTCGCATCGACAGCGAGGTCATTAGCGACGACGGTGCCATTAGATATGAGTGTAGTAGTTTATGTTTTTGAGGTTTATGATTTTAGTACTCTTTGTATGTCATTTTGAGAAGTCAGGTTCATGTTTGCGTTGATTCCGTGTTCCTGTCTTTGGATTTCTGTGGTGTGGCATTCGTGCGGTATGTGGGTTATTGCAATGAGTGCAGGTGGGTGGTGAAGTATTTTTGATTTTGTGTTCATGTGTCAGCTTGGTATGACCAGTTCTTAGGCGTGAGATAATCATTCCTTCTTTCCTGTTGGTGAAAGTCTTGGATACTTTTGTGTAGTTGGGTGCTTTTAGTTGTTTTCCATGTATTGTTCCATTCATTTTTTGCTACTTTTTTGCAGTGGATTATTTGGTCGTCGCAGGGGATTGGAAGATGATTGCGATTATTAATAAGTGAGGAAACTGTGGCTTCTTTTGCTGCTGCGTCGACTTTTTCATTTCCTTCTATTCCTTGATGAGCTGGAATCCAGATGACTGTGGCGTTTATGTTAGGTTGGTTGTGGTTTAGTTCTTGGATGGTGGATATTAGTTGGTTATCTTGATTGTATGATTTCGTTAGAGATTTTGTAACGCTCATAGAGTCGGTGTAAATGACAATCTGGGCTTCGTTATTTGAGTGTGTATATTTGACGGCTTCCAGGATAGCATAAGTTTCGGCTGTGAAGATGAATAATGAAGAGGGGAGATTTTGTGTTTTTTTTTTTGTTTTTTCAGCGATAATGGCGTATCCAGTTCCAATGTCCGTTTTTGACCCATCAGTATAAATCTTGTGTTGGGAGTAGTTGTTGTTTAGTTCTAAAAATCGAGTCATTTGGGCTGAGGATCTTTTGGGGAGTTCGGCTGGTGTTAGTTGGGAATGCTTTTATTGTCCATGGAGGGATTTGTGGTGGTTCACGTTCAATGGTGGAATTTTGAAAGTGGTGGATTGAAGGATTTTGGTAAATCCGACATGGAAGGGGGAGGGAATTTTGGGTTTGTTGTTGTAGGAAGTTTGGTATCTATTGGAGATAGGATTGTTTAAGCTTAGTTTCAATTTCTTTAAATTTCGTAAAGTGTTGAAAGTGTCGAGGGAATTAGAATTTTCTAAGTGAAAGGAGTGATGGCAAGAAGAATATCGAGCGAATCATTGGAATTCTCTTTTGTAACCAAATTACATAAAAAACGAAATGGCCCTTAATGGGTTATATCGTTCGATCGTTCACCTCACGACGGTTATTCGTTCGATCGGTGGCCGAGTTTCGAGCTTTGTGGTATCTTCGCGTATCGTTTGAAAAGCTGGTTGATATAGGACGGAATTCGCCGATAAAGCGAAATTCAAGCAAAAGGGTAGAGGAAGTTGGTCGGGACTGCTAGCGAAATTGAAGTCACGGCATCTGGCTATCTGCTTGTGATATAACCTCTATCTATAATATCGCCTCGATATCTAATCCCACGATAGAGATACTAGGTCTAAAAGTCTCGAAGTCTTTTCTTCTCAATATCGAACTTAATTTTTTTTTTTTTTTTAACGACCTGCCATATTTTATTTTAGTAAGACACTTTTCATTTATTTTTGTAAATTTACAATAGATTAAAAAATATCTCATTTTTCAATATAACCTGATATAGATGATAATGTATGGGATATTTTTTACTTAATTGAAACTTTACTGGAAACATTAAAGTTATTGCCACACTCTGAAATTTCAAAAAAATCTGTTTTTTTAGTTTCGACTTTCTGTATCATTTTACATGCTTAACAACTGCTTTTATACGCTTGTTTTATGAAAATAAAAGTTCCGTGCAACTTGGAACTTTCTCTGCTATAAAAATTCCTATTTCAAAGAGCTGAAGAATATTAAATGCAAATGCTAAAATGTTCAAGAGATCGTCCCCCCACGGGAATGGTATCCCCAAATAAAGATAAAAACCAAGGCTGCCAAGGATTCCAACTCTCGGACTATTAGATTACAAAAACCGCAATACATTGTAAAGCAACCCTTGTTTTTCCATCAGCGTTATCATGCCTTGTCTTCGCTCGGATATGGGAGCGTCGTCGAGGCGGTTCTTCCATCGCGGAGCACTTTATCTCGGGACGATAGAATGCAAAACAGTGTCGGCAAAAACAAGCTGCAGGAAAATCGACAAGCAGTCGGAAGAGGAGACAGAGGAAGACGAGGGCGAGTCGATGGACAGGAGAGCGACGAAAGATCTTGGGAGACTTTGCCTGATGAGGACCGTTCCCATGACGACGCAACGCAACCCCAGGAACACGAAACGGTCTAGGCATCCTTGACTCAATACCGGCTCGCCATATACTCACGTAGCCTTGCATCGAACCTCACCACTACGTCTTCGGTCTTCAAACCCTCTTAAGCTCTGGCTGATATTCGTCCGTCGTCCCTTGCACCGCGCCACCCACTTTCACCACCACGTCCCTGTCCAAATGGAATATCCCACGCTTATACTTTGTTCCATCTGCGGGATCCATATCGTCCGTTCGCGTATATTTGTGTCGGTAGGTATTGCACGTACGTGTACATGTGTGTACGTGGGACAGACGACGTGCGAGCGACAGACGAAACGCGGAATACAAACGATGGAGCGCGCTAACGAGAAGGAAAAGAAGAAAAGGAAAGAAAAGGAAAAGCGCGATCGGACTTGGAATTACGGCATTAAGGGAGTCGCTTTTTGCCGATTCGAACACGTTGCCTGGGGAAAGGACGAACGTGATGTGAGATAAACCAATGGGGCATTAGCTTCTGTATTACTTCTTCTGGAATTTTCGGTGTAGCGATTGAATTTCTGGCTTCACCTACGTTTGAGACTTTAACGACTCTATTTTTTTCTTCTCGTTTCGTGTTATCTTAATAAACGTGGACGATCGAGTATAATCCATCGTTTTGTCACAGTTGGAAGTGTCGTCTGACTTCTCAGCTTGGATATAAGAAACCTTCTTATCTGGAAAAGGCGGTTCCCGCCAAAAGGGTCGAGTCCTAAAAATTCCACGACGAGTGTATACGCCCCGATACTGCGTTTCGAAATACCTTTTTTAGAATTTCGAAACACTAATCTACGAATGCTCCATCCTCCGGTATAACCTCTCGAGTCTAAGAGCCATTGAAAACAGAGCCACGAGTGGTATTGATCTTTCAAACAATTAAAAAAAAAAACAAAGAAAAAGTTCAAGTAGTCCGCTCTCAATTCCCATCGAGCGTTATAATTCGAGAGCGTAGATTCCATCTCCGAATACATAAATTCGCGAGTATAATGGGTTCCGGGGATAATCGAGCAGAAGAAGGCCAGTCGACGGCGAGTTGGGTCAGCCTGGTGGCTCGGCCAGCGAGAATCGCAGGGAGAAACCTGGACTGGGAATTGGAGGTCTGGCCGAGCGCGCACGCCACTGCCATGTTGGAACGGGATGTCGGGAACGGGATCCGCGATTGGTCGCGCAGCCATACCGCGTGCCTGTGGAAACGAGAGGGCGTCCCGGTGCTGGCGGCGTTCCACGCGAAAAGCGTCTCGACGCCCTGCTAAAAACGGCACGCGTCACGTCACACGCTTACGGGGAAACTCAACCCCTTTTCCACCCCTCCGGCCAGGCCGCCGTCGGAACCAGTTCACCCAGTCGCAGAGACAACGAGTTTCGACCCTTCAGCCCGCAAATACCGTATATTTCAATTTCCCCGTCAGCGATTAATGAACACTTCGCTCGCTGCGAATTCGTGGAGGTGGTGTTGATTTTTATGAGCGATTCTTCGTTGAATTTTGGGCTTAAATGACGTGCCACGCGCGTCGAGAATATTTGGCCGAAAAATTGCAATATTCTCACAGTTTTGATTATATTGAAATATAACCTAGGCAAAACAAATAATAAATTTATTACTTCTTAGTAATAACTCTATCCAGTGACATACCGACGAATTCAAAAAGAAGACGAATTACTGTATACGGTTGTCACTCATTATGGTCCGTAAATCAGTTACTAGCGCAAGAGGTTACGAGGATTACTAAGAGAGAGAAGTCGATTGGAAAGTCGATTTCTATAAAAAAATACTTATTGAGTTTTAGAGTGAAATTTTTGTAGAGAGAGGGAAAAATAGTTAATACTACACGAAGGGAAATAGATAATTATACCACAAGTACCTATAGTCAATTATTTGCAGCCTACGATCTAACAATATACGATCCAACAAGTCACAACAGATCTGATATTTATTTTTACAAATAATTTCTAGCAAGTAAAAAACTTTTCGAAGACAGAAGGAGAAAAAGGTAGAAAGTTAAATTATTATATATGAGGGATCGCTGCTTCTAAAAGTAGACAATAGAAAGTATGAATTCTCCTGCTCTTCCCCCCTCTATATTCTTCTCATATGAAATCTCGAGATCGTTGAAGTTTAGATGCGGAATGGGGTTGAAGAATCTCCGAGCAGAAGAAAGAGAATGTATCTTGCGGATGAATTATCGTTGAACGGCACTCGACCGATCAATGAATGGTTTGATGTAATATTAAGAACACAGCCGAGTTCTATCGAAGTCTCAGAAATAGGATCGGGTTAAATAAATAAAAGTTGCAGCGTAATGTCTTCGTCATTCTCAGGATGCTCTTCTAAGAGTCAGAGTTGGCCGTTGTGGAACGTAATTTTGTAGGAAACTTTTTTCACGATTCGAGTTTCGTAATCTCCCGTTAGGGGTTTCCGCGCAATGAGTGCAACCCTTTCTGCTGAGCTTTTTAGTACTGCTGCCTGGCGTAAATTAAGACTACCATTGGCTCCTCTGGGATTGAATTTTTTTTAACTATCTTGGCTGCGTTGTGTCTTCTTTCTTTCTTTTTTTAGTAGAGGTTCGTTCATTTTGGAACGATGAACGACACGCAGCTGGTACTTATCATTGAATCAATTTTGTTTTGATATATGGTGAGATAAAAAAAAGTTGATCGACCGTCTTAAGGATTTTTATACTTTTTATAAAAATTATTTTATTGATGCGAATATTTAAAAAAAATTCTAAACGACCCTTGTTTAGTTTGTTTGATAAAAGTTGAAGAAACTTTATACGTTTTGAGAATCGTCGCGGAAGTGATGTTTGTGCGAGTTTGTATTTATTAAAAAAATCTGTCTACTATAAATCACTTAAATAGCATATTGAGAAAATAAATATTGAATTGTTACAGTGACAAAGGCTATACCATCAAAAAGTAATAAAGTAAGTAAACCTTCGGCAGGTAATATATTTCATTGTAATCCGCAGTTGATGGTAAAAGATAACGGTAAACTATTCTCGGTGTTTTCAAAAGAATGAAATCTCAAGCTAATTTAGACTGTCTAGACTTTTTGTCTACGATTTTTCAAATATTTTTTTTGAATATGTTTCGGTACCGTGCACTCTTTCAACCTTGCTCAAAAATTTTTTCACTTTTATTGTCACTTTAGAAAATACAAACAATTTATAATATTTTATTTTTTAACATGAAATTTAATTGAGAAATTACACATATTAATAAGGACATTTTTATATTTAATTCAAACATGAAATATTTTTTAATATTAGAAAAACGCAATATATGAAAATTTTTTTTATTCCTATATTTGATCAAATCTATTCACGATTAAAAATATCTAATAATTGAAATAGCATTTCTTAACAAACCTATTCATAATTAATTATCTAACAAAAAAACTAACAAGAACTTTTCTTTCTATTCATACAAATTCCTGTTCACAATCAAATACCTATCTAAAAAAAAAAAAGATTATATTATCCGATACGACCATTTTTCCGCCTCTTCAATTTCATCAAAATTTGTCGCACGGCTTGCTTCGAAAAATT